TGTTCCCTAAAAACGGGAGCATGTTCCCTAAAAACGGGAGCCTGTTCCCTAAAACGGGAGCATGTTCCCTAAAAACGGGAGCCTGTTCCCTAAAACGGGAGCATGTTCCCTAAAAACGGGAGCCTGTTCCCTAAAACGGGAGCATGTTCCCTAAAAACGGGACCTGTTCCCTAAAAACGGGAGCATGTTCCCTAAAAACGGGAGCCTGTTCCCTAAAAACGGGAGCATGTTCCCTAAAAACGGGAGCATGTTCCCTAAAAACGGGAGCCTGTTCCCTAAAACGGGAGCATGTTCCCTAAAAACGGGAGCATGCTTGAAAACCAAGACACCATGAGCATACTATACAGACTACATTTTAGTTTCAACCTGAGGAGAAAATGCAGCAAGTGTCGATGATGAGCAGGACCAGGGGGAGCTCCCAGCTGAGACCCTGCCAAAGGGACCTGTGTCTCTGTGCTCTCTCCTGCCTGACTGCTCTCCTAGATTGGCTTAAAATAAAGTTTGCTTATTCTACATAAGAAACATTTCATTTGGTTTTTCAGAATAGCTGCAGTCTTAAATGTGAGGCACAACCACAACGATGTTATTATTATAGCCAGCAAGTTTAATAGTGATTCTTAACTGCATAATATTTGATAATAAATATTTGATAACAAATTTTCAATTGTCTTCAAGTACCAAAAAGGAAATGAGAATACCATGAAGATCCTCTAAACAACCTATTTGACTTTATATCTTGAATCCTCAAGTAAAATATTCAAAATGAAAGCAAATTATTCTTACCTAACTACAGTAAGTTTAACATTTTATAGAATGCATAACTTGGGGCTGAAGAGATGGGTGAGTGGTTAAAAGCACTGGCTGCTCTTGAGGAGGCCCTGGGTTCAATTCCCAGCACCCACAGGGGAATCCAACGCACTCTTTTGACATCCACAGGCATTGCACAACATGGGTGCGCTTACATACATATAGGCAATCGAATCATACACATAAAATAAAAATAATAAATAAAATGTTTTAAATAAATGTATGTTATAGTTATATCTTATATGTATACTACAATTTTATGAATATAGAGATATATATTCATATACATATATAATGATACATATAACAATTATTTATGTGAATAAATATTTCTATATTATCATTCATCTAACCTGACCATGGCAATAGTTGCTTGACAAGCTATATTACAATTGTCCAGTAAACTGCTGTTGTTGTTGTTGTTGTTGTTGTTTGACACCAGATCTCTCTGTAGCCCCACCTGGCCTGAAATTAGCTATGTAGACCAAACTGGCCTCAAACTCACAGAGATCCTCCTGCCTCTACCTCCCAAGTGCTGGGATTAAAGGCTTGTGCCACCATGTCTGATGCATCCAGTAAATTTTTGTCATAAGCAATTATACAACTTAAGTATTAAATAACAACAATGACAATACAGAAAATGCATTCATTACCTCATATTTTGGATATAAATTTTCCCTCATAGTAGACTCTGGAACAGCGAATTTGGGTGCAGTTAGATTCCAAAACATCTTTGTAGGTCCCGGATATGCAGTCACCTTTGAAAATAATATTAACAATTAGTACAAATAGTAACAAACGTCCAAAAAAATAAAAAGCCCAAGCACCTGTCAAATTTTTTCTAGTTGTTGAGAAAATGACCTGATTGGTTCCACAGCCTCTGAAAGTCAGGGAAAGACGACTTTGCACACCATCAGATTTTTTTTTTAAACAGGAGCATGAGCAGTTTTAAGTGAGGCTCAGGATATGAGGAAATTAGTGAACCATACTGGAGGCAAACTGACCATTCTTAGTAAAATAGAACACAGGCATGTTCAGTGGTTAAGAGCACTGGCTGCTCTTGCAGAGAATCCAGATTCGATTCCCATGACTCCAGTTCCAGGTGATCCGATACCCTCTTCTGACAGCAAGCATTACACAACACAGGTGCACTTACACACATGCAGGCAGTAAACTCATACACATAAAATAAAAATAATAAAATATTTTTTAAAGCCAGGCATGGTGGCGCATGTCTGTAGTCCCTGCACTTGGGAGGCAGAGACAGGAGGATCTCTGTGAGTTCAACGCCAGCCTGGTTTACATAGTGAGTTCCAGGCCAACTGGGGCTACAGGGAGACCCTGTCTCAAAAAGACCAAAAAAAAAAAAGTTGCATTAATATTGTTAAACACTACAAAGCCATTAAAGTACATTAAAGTACAAAAATAACAATCCATAGATAGGTCTTACACAGTATTGGAAGTAAAAGTTTCAGAAAGTTCCATTCAAAATTATTATTTCTATAAGTTTGTCTAGGACACACACAAAAAGATATCTAGGATCACAAATACATACAGTAAAGTGTGATGTTATATACTTGAAAGGCCACAATTCTACAACCTACCTTGGGTAGGGAAGAAAAGATATAAAAAGAAGAATATTAAAGGACTTAATTTAATGATTTTTTTTTAAAGGAAGCAAGCATGCCAAACGGTTTATATTTGTGAACTCAGTAGTATTTCCCCAGTGTTTAACAGATTGGCTTCTCTGTTTATTTATCTTTAAAGTTGTTCCAAATAAAAAAATAATCAGAACTAAGGATTTTATGAAATCAAAACTATTCTGGATGCTATGAGAATTGAGGTTACATGGCATTATGTATTCATCAAAAGCCACTGAACTTTGAAGCCCAAAGACTGAATTTTAATATAATGCAAAGGTTCAGGAATCATTTAGGAAGTCAAGAAGAATCCCAGAGTAGAATACAAAATGTAACAAAACAAGCTAATGTTTTCACAATAAATTATCAACATATTATTGATTAGTGGAACAGCTCACAAAAGGAGGTAGGGGGAAGTTGTTGATCTCTGTAAGAGGAAATGAATGAACTGTATGTAAAACCAAAGGCAGAGGAACAGCACATGTAGCATTGCTCTTTGGATGATCAGGTACCCACAGGAATGTGCACTAACAATTCTCATACTGATATACGCAAATGCTAGAATTCTAAAATTAAGTAGGTCAGTGAAGGATGTTGGAGCCAATCTGTCATTGTTGGAATGAGAGTTTAAAGATAAACAAGTGGAGAGCTAGAACAATCCATATCACAGTGAATTCATGAACTCATGTTTAATTTAAATATGGACAAAGGTGCTTGCACCTCGAAATACTTAGAGAAACACATATGTCTATGAGTTCCTGTACACAGACACACACTCTTGCTTTGTTAGTTCACAAGGCATGGAAGCAATGCCCACGTAGCAGCAAGCATACCTACTACTTAGACCTTCGTTTCTCTAGGAAATGGAACAATGATGCAGAACAGAAACAGCTATTCTAAAACAAAGGCAGGAAATGCATAAGATGAGCCTGGAATATATTGTACTACAGGAAATTAAGAAACTCCTTTTAAAAAAGAAGTCTAAGCTATCTTGTACTGCCAAAAAGTAAAGAACTGTTAAGACAGAAACTCATAATGATGAGGCACCCAGGGGGATATAGGAACCAACTGAGTTACGAATAGCTGAAGCTCAAACAATTTTAGCAGTAGTAGTATGAGTAATAAAAATATAACCCAAAGCACAAATATAAATATAAATATTTATAAATATATATGAACAATGCTAATATCAACAGATGACAGAAGAGATACATAGATAAACAATAAAACAAATTTCCTATACAAAAGATTCCTAGTTAATTTTTGTAGCTATTCTACTCCCAGAAGTAGAGCATAATTCCCAACTCCATAAGTGTGACTGCACATAGTGGTTTCCTTTAAAAAGTACAATGCAGGAAAGGGGGGAAGCTGTAAGGGGAGTAACTCTAAAGATCACCTCACCAGGTGACCAAGATCAACAGCAGCCCTCTGATGTCACACTGACAACATAGCCTGGATGAGAACAGTCTACTTCCTCCCAAAGTCTCACAAACCAATCAGATCAGAGTCAGTCAACTTTCACTGGACGCAGTCGACAAAATACCTGACTAGTAATTCCTAAAACTGTCAGTCATTGAAATAAAGGAACTCTGAGACTCTATCACAGCCAAAATGAAACCAAAAAGACAGGACAGCTAAATGCATTATGTGCTGGATGGGATCCTGGAACATAAAAATAATAGGCAAAAACCAAGGGAAATGAATGAACTGTAGGCCTTAGCTAATAACAATGCACCAATACTGGTTTTTTTAATTGAAAAAAAGACATCACATTACCGCAGATGTCTTCCAGGGCTGCCAGAACTAAGAGCCCTTGCAACAGAAATGAGTTCCCTCACAGTCCTGGAATCAAGGCGCATGCTCCCTTGGAGACTCTAGAGCAGAGTCCTTCCTGGCTTCTCCCAAGCTTCTAGGGACCACTGACAATCCTGGGTATTCCTTGACCAACAACTGCATGATTCCCACCTCAGCCTCTGTTGTCACATGACCTTTGTCCCTGTACGCCCTGCTTTAGCATATCATTCTCCTTTTCCAAAGACGCTATTCCTATTGGAGCTAAGACCCACGCTATAGCAGCATAATCTTGTTCTGAAATTCTTATTTACATCCAAAAGTCCTCATTTCTAAAATAAAGTCGCATTCATAGTACCAAAGATAAGGACTTGGACTTATCTTCTGTGAAGGACTGTTAGTATAGTATAGTGTAGTATAGTATAGTATAGTGTAGTGTAGTGTAGTGTAGTGTAGCGTAGCGTAGCGTAGCATAGCATAGCGTAGCGTAGCATAGCATAGCGTAGCGTAGCATAGCATAGCGTAGCGTAGTATAGCATAGCGTAGCGTAGTATAGTATAGTATAGTGTAGTGTAGTATAGTATAGTGTAGTATAGCATAGCATAGTATAGTATAGTGTAGTATAGTATAGTATAGTATAGTGTAGTATAGTATAGTATAGTATAGTGTAGTATAGTATAGTATAGTATAGTGTAGTGTAGCATAGCATAGCATAGCATAGCATAGCATAGTATAGTATAGTGTAGTATAGCATAGCATAGCATAGTATAGTATAGTGTAGTATAGTATAGTGTAGTATAGTATAGTGTAGTATAAGTCGCATTCATAGTACCAAAGATAAGGACTTGGACTTATCTTCTGTGAAGGACTGTTAGTATAGTATAGTGTAGTATAGTATAGTATAGTGTAGTGTAGTGTAGTGTAGTGTAGCGTAGCGTAGCGTAGCATAGCATAGCGTAGCGTAGCATAGCATAGCGTAGCGTAGCATAGCATAGCATAGCATAGCATAGTATAGTATAGTGTAGTATAGTATAGTATAGTGTAGTATAGTATAGTATAGTATAGTGTAGTATAGCATAGCATAGTATAGTATAGTATAGTGTAGTATAGCATAGCATCGCATAGCATAGCATAGCATAGCGTAGCATAGTATAGTATAGTATAATATAGTATAGTATAGTGTAGTATAGTGTGCTATAGCATAGCATAGTATAGTATAGTATAGTGTAGTATAGTATAGTATAGTGTAGTATAGCATAGCATAGCATAGCATAGTATAGTACAGTATAGTATAGTGTAGTATAGTATAGTGTAGTAGTGTAGTGTAGCGTAGCGTAGCGTAGCATAGCATAGCGTAGCGTAGCATAGCATAGCGTAGCGTAGCATAGCATAGCGTAGCATAGCATAGCATAGTATAGTGTAGTATAGTATAGTATAGTGTAGTATAGTATAGTGTAGTATAGCATAGCATAGTATACTATAGTATAGTGTAGTAAAGTATAGTATAGTGTAGTATAGTATAGTGTAGTATAGCATAGCATAGTATAGTATAGTATAGTATAGCATAGTATAGTATAGTGTAGTAAAATATAGTATAGTGTAGTGTAGTATAGCATAGCATAGCATAGTATAGTATAGTATAGTATAGCATAGTATAACGTTATATACTGTTGTATTAATAATAGGGCAACAGGGTATGAGGTATGAAAAAAATCTCTGTACTATCTTTGTAACTTTTTTTTTTGCAAAACACTTGTCTTCAGTAAAAGTTTAACAGAACAATAAAAAGAAAAGAAAAATCTTTTTTAAAGTTGCATTAAAAAAATGGGCATTCCCCATAGACCAATGGAACAAAATTGAAGACTGAAATATGAGTAAATGCAATTTCAGCCACCTGATATTTGACAAAGGGGCCAAGAACATTAACTGGAGGAAAGACAGCATGTTCAGCAAATGGTGCTGGCAA